ATCATCGAGTCCGGGGACTTCACACTTGTACGGTGGTGCCGTTCGGGGTAGACCACCCCTCTCCCTCTCGCAGCCCTGTTCTCCAGCCAATCGGCGTATCTGGAACCCCGCACCACGAACGATACCAGTGCCCGCCTCGGACTTGGCGCGTGATCTGCCCCTCAGCCTGTCTTCCATGGTCTCACCCATTCCCGGACGACCGTATGCCCTTGTTCTGGAGAACTTTATTGCCACTTTCAACCTGGTGAATCAAAGCGGAGCTAATGTAGGCAAACTGGGAAAATTCCAGGTAATCTTTGTGACATGGATGCTTCCTAGTACTGGCTTAGTCTATACTATATCGATAAGTTCAATCCTGTCGCGTGAATATCGTCTGTCATGGTGGTATTTTATTTTAAGCAGTTGGGTCAGTCAGTAAGTTGATGGTGGTGGTAATAATGTTGGTTATTTTTGTCGTTATTACGTGAAAATATGTACTCCTGAGTCCACTGGATCTGATCGAAAAGCGCGGATCGTCCAAATACACAATCAACCCGTCCGTCGAAGGACAGCAGTTGCGGGGGACTTCTTGGTGCAGGGGATGTTTCCTGCAGGTGGACGTTACCGGAAGACAACTGGCAGAGCCTTTTTCGATGGTGGACAACTTGATGGATGCATTGCCGAGAGCCTGCTTATTTCGCAACTAATTTTCACTGAGGGCCGTTCCACTGAGCGCCACCACAGTTCGCGGCTGGACAGACCTGGTCTGTATGCGGCTGCTCTCCTTCCTGATCACATTCGTGCGTCATGAACGTCTCGAAGATCTTCAGCCGTCTTTTGGCACAACTCAAAGTTGGCGCTACACGCAGACCGGGCGCAATCACCAGGCGTCAGGTAATGAGAAACATCTGGAGTCGTTTACCGGATGTGATAGAGTTGCGCGCAGGGCAGCTACCTCGGAGAACCAGGCTGTCCTCGATGCGAATGGTCGAACACGCGGCAGCAGAGTGCGGAAATGACGCCAGCGCCGAAGTCGTGACTCATTCGACAGGACTCGATCACACATTACATTTTGACGAGTTCGAAATTCTCGAGTCATGGTTAACTGTCTCCAATCTATTATCAAGTACGATGACCTCCCCCCCCCATATTCCGTGCTCAGACTAAGCCCGAACAGAATAATTAGCCATGGCGGGGGGTGGGGGTGGGAGAGGGGACGCATCGGTGCACACTGTTCCCGACCCTGTTATCGATGAGCCGAATAGCTGGGTCATTGTCACACCAACATCCAGCACCAGGCGTGAAATTGCGGCGAATAACTACTGGAGGCCGACCATTCAGCAAGTACTACACGGAGGGCAGCCATTAGCGATGAAGGGGAAACTTTTAATTTGGCTAGGTATGCAGTATGCAGAGGTTAGTGTCAACCTTCGTCCTGCTCAGCTTCCCTCCCACCTCCACCATCAGTCAGTTCCGGGGGCACTCTCGCAAGCGCGGGCGTAAGTCACTTGAACCTGCAATAGCTAATGCCGGGATAACTGCTAAGGGTGGATTGGGGAATGATTCCGTTTTGCTTCCTGCCAGCTCTCTGGTCCACACGCCGATTCGCGTAGCAATTTGCACCAAGGGAGCCTGCGAGCACATCATTTCCGTCCTTTACACTCAAACCACTGGCTCATAATGATAACCTGCTGACGGCTGCTCCCACTAGCGCGCTGTCCACCACTCCGGCCCAAGCCAAAATTGGCTATAGTCCTCTGGCTCCTCCTTCTCCCCTCCTCCTCCTCCTCCTCCTCCTCCTCCTCCTCCCTCCTCCCTCCTCGTCTCACCCCTACAATTATGGCGTGGAAGCATTTTTCCTTATTTACCGCACTTATGCCAGTTTTTCTGTTATTTCATCTGACGACGTGGTTGGTTTGTCGAGATCACAGTAAACTATGAATGGCGTACTGAACTTCCGGATGGCATCTTGTACGATGAAGCAATGGAAATAGAAGTCGTCTCCAGATCGTTTACCTTCATCAATCGGGAACTTTTCGACTCACGGGAAAGGGGAGGGAGCAGAGGGACAGGGAAGCGGTTCAAACCAGAATTAACTATTTTGGAACTCAAGATATGGGTTCTTCTGAGTCCAGATGGAATCAGTAGACGTGTAGAGGACAGAAACCCTCTGACTAGTTAAGGGTTAGTAGAAGTCACAATCTCAGTGTCTCATGACCCTCTTCCATTTAGCAGTCGCATACCCCTCCTGCCGATACTCCGGTGCAGGCAGACAGCTTGACGTCAAATACTTAGTGTTTAGTTAGTCATATTCTCAACACGTTTTGAAAACGAAGCCGCTCCGGAAAGCTTATGACTTTTCTCCTGGTGCTCATTTTAGCGGCTGATGTGCATCGGCTGCCGAGACCATACGCTCTCCACCTGGTTTCCGGTGCTTGCGACTGGTCCTGTGGCCGCCCAGCTCTATGACAATCAGAGTTTCCTTCTCAACTGCGACCTCCGGAATTCCCTCCAGACCCTTCTGCTCAGTCTGAATGACTTCGATTTCCGTCTTGATCCAGTTATTCTTGGCAACTAGCATTTACTATCGTGGATGCAAACTCATGACAATCTACTTTTCCGCGCCATTGTACATAATCACTGTCCTCCTCGATTGGCCAGATATTTTGAGCCGCTCACCGCTCGCCACCTCCAGTCTCAGCCCACAGGCACTACATACTTACAACTAGTTTTTTTACTCCCTGCATCTAACTTTATCCTGCCAGTTGACTTAAACGGTGCCCCGAACGGATCCTCTGGCCATCATCGAGTTTTGCATTTATTCCCTGTCTTCTACTCGTCGTCAAAGCACAACGCGACTAAAATTTGCATAATGTCCAGATTTGTATCCTATTTCATGTTTCTTTTTTGTAATTTCTTCGATTCGAGGTGCAATTCCCCTGACTGCTTTCTCCACGCTGGCTACTGATATTTCAAGCTGCGGGAACTTTTTATCATTCCTCGTAGTTAGTCTAATTTTTCCTTCTTAAACGCAAACTGATTAAAAAAGATGAATACGCGTTGCATTGTTTTCTGTCGGAAGGAGACTTAAAAAAATCGTGCTACACCAGTGGTTATGGTGATTTCCGACTTTTGAACTAAGTCACGAATGAAGGTGGTTGGAACGTGAACTTTGACAGTGGCACAAACGTGCTGCACCGCCTCATTAGTCGCCCGTCCAACGGCTCCCCTTGATCGAATCCCCGAATCAGAACTCAGCGGCGAGGGCGGAAGAAATTGTGCACAGTGATCCCTCCTCGACCAGGGGTGGGCGGTTGCGTTCCAGAACCCGCCTCGAGAAGTGAAAATCCGTGAAGTAAAAGCTATATGTTTCATCGTTATTTTTGCACAAGTTAAGCCTTTATTAACCCCCCTTATCGTTAAATATGCCGTACATAGTTATGCCAAGTAAACACTTCACATTCAAATAGATAAAGCGACCCAAATTTGAGGCACCAAAATTTAGGAAGCATTTACAAGGAGTAAAAAGGCCTATCGTCGACTGAAATACCCGAACCAGGGAATAATTCGCGATATAACCTGGAGTTACTGCGTTGACATATTCTAACAGCGTATATAAAACGGAATGGGGACAAATTGGGAAGTCAAAGACAGGACGGAAATTTGGCCAATCACATCGCGTCCTTGGGTAGCTGATATGCTGGCTGGTCTCATTACTCATCTGACTGGCTAGATAAACCCCAAAGCTAGTCGGAAGTAGACGCGCCATTATCACGCGCACCGCGTGTGGACTAATAGTTGGCGCGGCCACCTACCGTTTCCCCCTTTGAGTCGGGCTGCATGCTTTGGGCCTCGGGTCCACTTGCATAATGTCCAGATTTTTATCCTATTTTATCTTTTTTCGTAATCTCTTCCATTCGACGTGCAGTTTGCCTGACTGCCGTTTCTCGGCTGGCTGCTGATATTTCGGGATGCGGTAACTTTTTACTATTCCGTGTAGTAAATCTCATTTGATTAAAACGAGTAGAACGGTGCATTACGTTGTTTTTGGTAAAAAGAGGCCTTTGAAAAAAATAATATCAAAGCAGTGATTGTGGTAATTTCAGACCCTGAGATCTGGTCTTGGATTTGGACACTTGGAGCATGAACGCTTACGACAGAACCTCTTGCAGGACTTTACTTCGGGCTGGTTGGACTGATAACAGCCTCTATCGTTGCAGACAAGTGGGGACAGATCCTAACTAACGGAAATCTTTGTAAGAACTGTAAATCCCAGAAAACACATTATAACGTAATATACCTCGTTATATCTTTTTAAGACCGAAATGGCGTTATAAAAAGTAAACAGTGCGTAGGATGGAAGTCGAGAAATTCGAACCGATTCAGACAACCGGTAAACGAGACGACAAGGTTAAGACTAATGGGTGAAATGTCGACGAAAGTCGGATCCCTTCTGAGTTCAGGATTTGCCCATATGCATGTAGGGATCTAAGTACTTCATGCGTGTGATTGTTGAAACGCGAATTAATGTCACCAAGGCGGGAGAGTCCAGCCCATAGACCTTTAAAATCTAGCTGACTTTCCAAAGTAGAATTGGGTCTTGATGAGTACCATGTCGCGCAACATCATGTGAGCCGCGGCTATGCAAGAATTGTACGGTAAACACTTTATACGCGGGTGACTGATGACTGTATTATTTAGGGGTTAGGCAGTTGTCGAAACTACTTTATATTTCAGAGTGGTCGGGCGGGTTATGGTGCATGGAGAGCCCAAGCCGCTGAAAATCAGTTGATATAGACTCTCTCCGGCTCATTTTTTCACAAATGCATTGGGGAACTTCAACCGAAGTGTTCAATGTCTACGCCGATGCTACCTGAATAAGTGGCAGTAGCGATGTTACGTACGCTGATACATGCGCAGATACCTGGTGCGTTGTTTAGTACGCTAAAATATATCCGGACAAAGTAAAATATTTCAAATTTTTTTGACACTGTGCACCTTAAAGTAAATTTTTCTCCATTCTGAATATTATCCGAGTTATAAATATGATTATTTGAGATTGGGAGTTAGTTATGTGGTTCTCAGTCACACAGACACGCTTTCACTTTCAGTCCCCTAAAAAACCGAATACTTATTCAGTCGGCCGAAAATCAATACTCATTTAGCCCATGAATAATATTCAATCTAACCTTCTAGAGAGAGAGAGACAGGAATGCTTTATTTTGAAAATAACATTCAAAACTTTCAGCAAAAATCTGTTATCCAGTACACAGTGATTACCATAGAGATTAACAGGTATTGGACAGGTGGGCATAATTATAAGTGAAAAAGGGACTTTAAGGTGCAAGATCAAGTTATAGCTTTTGTTTTTCGGCATCTTTGCAGGTGAGATACCGGGCTAGAAATGGCAGTATGGAATTCTGATAAGTCAAGTGCGACAAGGGATATGGCGGAAGCATCGACGCATGGGGCGTAAGGATTTCGCAGCCATTAACTCATTATGAAGGGGATGGACGGTGCCATTCAGAATTCGGTCAGCAAATTGCTCCACCGTATTGAAGTGTAGCTGCAGGATGATATCAATTGACTGGAGGGAAAAAACAAAAAATGGCGGCTCAATTTCAAAAGCCCGCCTATGGATTATGGGGTTTTCGTCCAGTTTCTTACCTTGCATGCCGCAGGCAAAATAAACTTGTCTGTGGGGCTGATGTTTTCTACTTATTATCCTGATTCCGCCGCATAAAATCTTTCAACCGTTATGTTGTCACTAGACGCCTAATGGTACGGACGCGTCTTCGTGTTAAGGAGACTGTCAATGGACTGTGGCATGCGGATTTCGAAGGTTTTGTGTACCGCATGAAGAGTCGAAAAGTGTCGGGTTACTTCTTATCTTCAATCACCTGGTTGAGACGGGCATAGCAGTCAACTCGTATTGCCTTTTCTAAGTTCATTTATGCAGGCGTAGAACGTCAATAGCTGTGGAGGCCCTCTGATTCGATTGACTGTTTTTGAACAAATGAAGTCAATTTGAACAAAGCAAGAATTACTTAATCTACACAGTGTTCTCAAGTAAAAACAGGGAAATGTGCTGCGCTGGGGGGGGGGGGGGGGGAGGGGAGGGAGAGGATGGTAGTGTCCGACATCTTCTGTTCGACTTCGCCAACACGCGGACATTGGCGCGAGCCGGCAACAAGACAGGACGAGAGATGTTGGAGGCGTGGGTGTCGGACACCAACTCTATCAACAGACACATCGATTTGCCTGCGTGGTACCCGCGCTCCGCCGACGCAGCCAGGTGGCGCAGCTCACACCGTCGCGAAGTACAAACGGCGTCACCACGCCGGGGGACCATGGTGGACCAGGCGGCACAAACCCTACCTACCCACGGACGTACTCCCCCTCCCCCCCGCAAGGACGAGCGATATAAATGTACACAAGTTGCTGCAAGCAAGTAGTCTCTGATAATGAACTCCAGTTCGAGTTCGAAAGCTCAGGCAAATATACTGTCCCAGTGATCGTGCCTTCGCCTTCTTTTAAACAAGAACCTGGGATGCGCATATTCTCTTCCATTCGCGAGAAAACATTCTATCTAAGTAGTATTTAGTTACACTTCCCCTTGTAATGTAAGCACCCACACGGGCATTCGGATTTAAAGGCCTCGTCCACAACAACGCACGCGAACTCTCGCGGTGACCTGTGGCCTTAACGGAGCCGGGGGTTGCCGAAGAAAGTAAACACTGATCCGCCAAGTAATTTGAAGTGGGTCTGCCTGTATGTCTCTCCTCGTTTTCAGTGTAAACATCTTGACTTCGAGCTCACGTCTACGCTGAAATAGTGCATTAGTTTTGGCTACTTCACCTATGCACGACCTTAGCGGCAACTTTGCATTCGACATTTACTTTCTCTTAGTTACTGATGCATGGTCAACTGACTTTTTGAAATTCGCTAACCGAAGCTATCGTTCTTCCACGCACACAATTAGGACATCAGGATTTAAGTTCTATAACAGACGTTTAAGACTAATATTTTGCACAGAACCTCATGAGAAGTTAAATGGAAGTTTCTGATAGCTTTCTAGATAGGAAAAGATAAGTTTGGGATTAATGCTCTTTGAGTGAACGCCAACTCAGTCTTCCGTGGTAGCTAAGCATGGAAACAATCATTAAAAACACTAAGTCTGTTATTCATCACCTGTTCTTCCATGCGCATTTTGAATGACATCATAGTTACCAGTTGTAATGCACAACGATCCGGGACCCGAGTTCATTTCCTAAGACTACAAATCCTGAGAAAGTAACTTTTAAGAAAGGGGCAGCTCAGTTTTCTAACGTCAGTTAGTTTGGTCTCTTTGACATGCTTACGTGGTTATTCCTTGGATTTTTAACATTGGCCAAAAGTGTGCAGGCACAACTTTTGAGAAATCAAAATTTGAAAAAAGTCAAGGTCTGAGAACGGACATTTTTGATTTTTCCTCGTCGGGTTTTTACGGCAACGCAAGTAAGTTACAACAGAGTAGCAAAGTGGAAGACAACCAATGACAGGCAGTCATGCGGAAAGGATCGAAGGGGTTCATACGTG